TCTGGCTCTGGCTGGCATCACTCCTTGCCTTGCAGATAGGAAAGGTGGATGAGCCTTTTGACTTAAGGAGGGAAATGTTCATTGTCTCTGAAGTGTAATTCAGCTTGCCATGGCTGGGTGAGAATCACAGCCACCTTTTGGGTGAGACCCGCAGGTCCTGCCTACCTACAAGCCAGAAGAGCCCCCAGTCTGGCTCTGGCTGGCATCACTCCTTGCCTTGCAGATAGGAAAGGTGGATGAGCCTTTTGACTTAAGGAGGGAAATGTTCATTGTCTCTGAACCTGCAGTATAATTCAGCTTGCCATGGCTGGGTGAGGAATCACAGTTACATGTTTGTCATAAGATGAAGAAAACACATGAAAAAGTCTCTGAACTAGAAGAATTCTGCCCACCTCCCCCTTCTGACTTGAGTACAAAACCAGAGAGCAGTGCAATAAATAGTCTGTTTGGCCCACCTGGCTCCTTCATCACTGTTGGATAGGAAGATGCTGGTATTTCTTTTGGAGTCTTTTTTTTTAAGAGTCCTACCATTGTTTACATAGGTAGAATTTTTTTTTCCCCTGAGTAAACTGTTTTCCTAGGAATGTAATTGCTTTTTAATTGGGCTGCAGGTGAAGCTGGGTTTGTGCTGAGCTGGAGACTGAACTGCATCTTTGGAAAAGCATTTTTTTGCGGTTTTGTTTGTTGTTTTGTTGTGTTTTTTTTTTTTTTTTTTTTTTTTGTTCTTTAAAATCTAGTTTAGATGACTCGAGTTTTTGCTTGAGAGTACCAGTGATGGGAGTCTTGCTTCTGACTGGCAACCCATGGGTACTCTGGGCTGGAGAGCTGGCTGAGATGGTTGATCACATCAGTTTTGGCATGAAGATGCTGCTGTGCTGTGCCACCAGTGGCATCCAGCAGGCTCCCTTCCGTTCCCATCACTTCTGTGTGATGACCTGAACAGGCCTGGCAGACCTGTGCTCAGCAGCCCCCCAAGTGAGGCATGGTTTGGCTGAAGTGGGATGTTCCCTGACAGTTCCACCTTCTTCTATAATTCCAGTCCCTCGGATCCCTTGGTGTGTTCCTTGCATGTGCAGCAAGCTGGGCTACGTAGGCAATAGGGAGCTGTCTGCTGACACGTGGTTTAGCTTCTGCTTACAAATTCCAGAGGCCTGCATCCAGCAGGCATGTGACACAAATTCATGGTTTTGGAAACCTGTGAATGGATTACCTTCATTCCTAGGTTTTTGTTAGAGACAGTACAGGCAATGCCTTCTAGCTTGGTGCTGGCAGCCAGTATATAATTTTATTTGCTATTAAAACAAAGAAGGAAGCAGCTTCTGGCAGATGCGTGCAAGATGTCTTCACGAGAGAGAGGTGGGAATGGCAAAGTCTAGTTTTTCAGATGGGACACCCTACAGCTAAAAATCTGCTTGATTGATGTGTGTTTCATTGGGCTGCTTGGTATATCGTGACTTTTTGCTGCCTTTTCAGCTGTGCATGTGTGAGTAGTGGTAAAGGCAAATCATTATTATACTATAAATAAAACATTATCCAGATCATGCTGGTCAACAGAGCAGAAAACAAATAGTGAATTCTAATGTCCTTGAATTACAATTTAAAAACAAGCAGCACAAGATGCTCGTTTGCATTTGGGTTAATGTAAGTATACTAAAAACTTCTCGATTGAGTTGCAGTTTGTAAGTTTTTCATTGCCCACTTGAGACACTTTCAAAAAATGCTGTTTAAACTTCCAAATTCTTATCTTAAAATCCTGTGAATAAGTCATGAGAGGAACAATCAATGAAACTTGAAACTGTCTAAAATAGTCTCCTGTTGTACAGGAAGCTGTTTTCCAAACTATGGCCTGTTCTGTGTGAAATTGAACCAAATTTAGTTCTCTCTACATGGCCAGTGTGAAATTTGAACTAATGAAGTCTATCACTTTAATTCATTGGATTGTATTTTGTTTACCTGACTAGGCATAAATAATTTCTCCTTAATTTGATTTTTGACTGCAGTGAGATTTTAAGTGCTTTTTTGCAGTGGCTTTCTCAAAACTGGTCTGGAAAAAAAAATAGTAGTAATGCTTTTGAGCTGATCTCTAAAGTATTGTGATTAGAGAGTGAGGTGGTGAGTGCTCTGCCCTGAAGGGTCTTGGTACCAAGAGTCCCTTCCTCTCCTGCTCCAGCTGCCAGGCTGCCCCCGCTGTGCCAGGCTCTGGGAGGGCAGTGCTGCGAGGCCCTCCCGCGGCCCCGGCCCCAGAGCATCCCAGCAGAGACAGCAGCCAGGCTGCAGATGGTGACTGGTGGGTCCCAGGGTGGTGGGACTGCCAGGGGCTGGGTTAACCCTCTGCTCCTGCTGGCATGGGCTCTGTTCTCTGCTGCTCCCTGTGCCCAGGGCTGCTCCGGTGGTGTGGCACCAGCATGGGCCTTGCCTGAGGAGCATGACAGATGCTTTCAGTCAAAACCTGCTGGGTGGGTGCATGGCTTCTCTGTGTTCAAGAGGCTCGGGTGTTAAACCTGCTAAAATCCTTGTCTCTTGACTTGTAACAGCCTGTTGAAGTGAATTCCCGGGGGCTCCGTGTGACTCCAGAGCCAAGTCTGTTTGCTCATGGCCCTGGTTTGTCTTCCTGAGGTCTGGAAACCTCAGCCAGGAACATGGCTGTGCAGTGGCGAGAGGATGTCTGTGCAGGGGGAGTCCAGCTCCCCTTTAATGAGGAATTCTGAGCTCAGGCTGAACCAGCAGCGGGGCTGCCCTGTCTCCCAGCACGTTCCTGCTGGAGAGGAGCTGACGCAGGGCTTCTAATTTAGAGTAACCCCTTTATTTTCAATGTACCTTGCACAATTATTGAGCAGCCCATGATTGTCTTCATCAAAACACTTCATTTCTCAAATCATTAAATGCTCTTGAACCTGTTCTGCCTGGGCTGGTAGCCCAGTTCACTGCAGCATGTACTGCAATAGCTCATAGGAAAACTCCAGCTGAGGGAAAATGTTCAGTGAAGTGTTGCAGTGCCTTGGTTCTGTCTATAAAGACATGAGGTAACATTTTTTTAAAAATCTAATGTGCCACAAGCAAGTGCCAGATTTAGCAAACTCTCTTTATTTACATACAAATACATGTACACATATTCTGTATATGTACACATATTTCAGTGTATATACATACATGATTTCCACATACTCTACAACAAATAGCATGTAGGGTTTTCTTTTAATTGCCTATAGTGCTGAGTAAAAATACATGGCAATAAAATCATGGCTTACAGCTAAGTTACAAAAGCACCAACCACTGATCTCATAGCAATAAATCCAAGCTTATATACAGCCCAAACAACGACAGGCTATACAGAATACAAAGTAGAACATCTTGTAGGAATCAACAGTAATAGACAAACTAAAAAACATCATTCAGACCAGGAGAGACTCTGTATGAAATAAGATGGAGGAAAACATTTAGATCATTGTTTAAACTAAGCAACACATTTAAATATGTCACCTAAGAGTAAAACAAATTAGCTAGTTACCTGTAGTATATTTTTAACAGAATAACTTTTTTTTGTATGAGAGTTTACCAAGGAAACCAGAATTAATCTCATGAGTGAGTCTTTCTGAGCTGTCAGTCATTTGTCCAGGTGTACACCTCTTGATCTCAGCCGACTTCTTCCATGGGACCTATGACATGGAATTGCCACAGAGAGCTGGGATAGCAAATTGGCAGCAGCAGCAGCAAGATCAGTACCCAAGGAAAGCACAGGGGATTGATGCTCAAGTGGCATTGCTGGAGCCAACTGCTACTGACCACAGTGGAGCAACATGTGTCCTCCTGAAAGGGACCCACAGCCAGAGCCTCCCTTCTCCTGACTGCCTGCGGTGGAGCGATGCTGCTCTGGACCAGGGGGAAGCCTAGCTGAATATTTTTATATCACAGCAATTGTGTGAAATCTGCTTTGAGAGCTGAAGGTGCATAGATTTTTGCTGTCCCCTGTCATTGCTTATGCTCTCACTGCAAAGTATGCAATGCAGTACTGAGGAAGACAACTGGGTGGCATTAAGCAGAAAGCTTGTGTCATTTGGGGTTTGTCCTAGTGCTGTGATGTGTTTCCTTGCTGCAATACGGTGCTGAGAAGACTAGATAGCAAGAAAACTGCTTCCTTTAGGTGGAAGCCAGCCCTGGCTGCCATTTTCAGACTTAAACAGAGATTATCTCTTTCCTAAGTAGGTATGTTCTCCATCACTGTAAAACTAGTACTGGTGTATAAGTAAACATGTGAGAAAAATAAAAACCAGTGGTGACCACAGAAGGAAGAAATGTATGCACACCAAACCTGCACACCTGCTGGGTCTAATAAACTAAAACTCATCAAAGTCTAATTACATCATTGCATATCCACGGGGAAGAGGTCTGAAGGAAGAACTACCCACTCTTCACTTCAATGAATACATACAACTACTACAACTCATAGAAATGTGCATCCCTTTCCTTTTTAATTTTTTTTCCTAGAAGTAGCACTTTCTCTCAGTATTTGGACTCGATTCCTTGAGCCCTGTGTGTAACATTCTTTATGCAATTAGTGAGAGAGCTGTTTATTTGGATTTTGTATATAAGCAGCTGGGAATTTGCTTTGTCATCCCTTCTTCGAGCTGTCAATTAAAGTTTCCAATGAGGAATAGGATCCTGCTAAGTGCTGTCCAAGTAAGAGGCATCCTCTCTGCCACTGAGTCTCGTTTAAAAAGCTGATTTTCAAGATCAATATTCATTACAGGCATAATTTTGTTTCACTTTTGTCATCTGCCTGGTAGCTCCCGTATTAATGATGAGAGAGCTAAAATGCAATGGTCTCAAATGAAAATGATTGTTACATAAATAGTTTGATTATTTACGATACAGCACAAACACAGCTACAGTTTTTTAAAGACTTTTTAACCTGATAGGAAAACATCTTCCTCTCCAAAAGGTTAATGGAAATGGTTATTTTTATGACTGATGTTGTATCTCTACAACTACCCACGATGGTATCAGCCAGAGGACAAGTATGGAGTCTCACTATGATAGTTATAATCAGGACAGACCTTTTGCACCAGTTTGTAATCTACGCTGTAGAAAGCAATGTAGATGCAGATAACTTTAAATGGTTTGGAGCACAACCAGGAGACATGGCTTTGAGTCTGCTCTTGATAGCAGATCTTTGAAGGGTCGAAATTGCACAAGGCAGTTTTTTTAGCGCGGTCTGTTTTTTCATACTCGATTCGGCAGTTGAAGGACTTGGATTCCTTGGTCTCCAGCGTTGACTGTGGAGATGACTCAAACTCAACCACCTTGGAAGGGGGCACCAGGCTTACAGAAACGTTTCCCAGACCTGTGGAGTTGTGTCGGAAGTAAACGCTGAAGGTCCCGTTGCCGTGATCGACGATTTTCCCTGTGATGAGGAGGTTCAGCTTCACAGTTTTGATGTTAGAGTGGAAGTCGCCCCATCCAAACATTTTCTTGAATTTCCCAGTTTTTACTATAGGTCTGCGTTTAGTTCGTGCGAGAGATTCCTGAACCTCCGTGATGTTGGACAACCAATCCCAAAAGTTTTCTATGCTGTCTGAGTAGGACACCTGGCCGTGTTTCAGAACTGGAGATGGCTTAACAAACAGGCGTAAAGGATTGATGATCCTGGAGTGGACCACGTTCTCCACCAGTGTCTCTGCAGCATCCTTGTCTTCCCAGTCCAGCACGTCTGTGGCTTGTACGACTTGGTTAGCATCACAAAATACCTGTTTCAAAACAGAAAGAACTGTAAATATAAAGTATGAAAATAAAAATGTCAAGAAATAAAAGGAGCCATTAATACTTATTTTTACACCAATAGGGTCTGAGCTGGTCGGGTGGACCACTGCACTGCATAGTATCTCCTGGCCCAGGAAAGCTCCAGGATTTCACTCAAAAGAGCCTACAGAAAATTCAGAAAGTCCAACGGGAGTCATCTACTGAGACAAATGGATAAGCCTCTGAACAAGTTGAGGGCTGTGGTGTGTGAGAGCAGGCAAAGTATCTTTTGCTCATAAGTTTGTTACATAAAAATATACCTAAGGATGCTGGAAAACCTGGACAGCAAAGTGGCACCTCTGCCAAAGGATGGAGTGAAATAGAGATATGTTTTTTTCCTGTCCCCTTTGTTTTTCTCCCCAGTAGTTTAGACTTAAAATCTTTTCTTATTCAACTGTTTCTGGTGTTCTAATTATGTACTAAAATGTTTATTATAGATTGGCCTTTCCTCTTCCACTTCTTCCTGATGTAGCACATCAATTTGTGCTCTTAGTTTGAGATGGATCATGAAAATAGCCATATTTTGGGGTGTGTTGGTTTCAGGTGTTAAGCTGCCTGCATTTAGCAAGGCCCAGCCTTCAAGAAGGGCTGAGCAATCCCAGCTAAGACTAATGCAAAACTTTGCAATGGGAAAGTGAGTAACTGCTTCTGGTAGCAATAGAATGGTGTTAAGAGTTCTCAGTCAAACATGCAGCTCTCGGCAAACAGCAGACGTCCAGTGCAGTGTAGAGACACATTGCCTGTGTGTGTTCTTCCTGCATGCTCTAAGAGAAAAGTCCTGTGCTCAAGAGGTCAGAAGCGGGATCCATGTTTTAACAAGCTAGAAATGGCCATCTAACTTTCTAGGTCCTCTAAAGCTTGGATATGAGTTTTAGAGAATGTGTTTTAAGGGTCGATGTACAAAGAAAAGCTTTTTTAGTTGTAATTATTCTTACAAAAATACATGAAAAGGTGCTTAAAACGGAAAGCAGAAAGAACAGTGTTGTGCTGTTCTTATCCCCCATGAATCTCCTCCTGGCAAAATGCTGCTCTCTTTTCCTCATCCATCTCGCAATGCCAAGGTGGGGATAGTGGGCTCCCAGCACAAGATAGGCTTTGCACTCCCCAGTAAGCAACTGCAGCAAGATCATGGGGTGGGGGTTTGCCTAAAGCAGTGGAAACACCGAGTGTCTGCTGTCCTCAGTCTCTGGCTGATGCTGAATTCAGGGGGTGGGATTTTGAGCTGCCTGTCTCACCAGGGAAACCACAACACTGGGCTTGCTTCTCCCTCTGCTGCTGATCCCAAAGGGCTCTTCTACACCTTTCCTAACAGTACTCAGTGCCTATAATATCCAGTTGTTATTCCTATAATCTTCAGTTCTTTATTTCATCATCTTGCAAAGATCAGAGAGTCCAAACCCCTTAATCTTGATCATCCCTAATGCAGTAATTAAGATCGAATGTTGAGAAGCAGCCCTCACTATTGTGAAATAAATCTATGGCTGGATCCAAACGTAGTGGTCAGGAGTCTCTGCAGAAACATGTTTTCTTCTTCAGGTTAGAAAAGGGAAGAAAAAACCCACAACAATGATCACTCTCAGCACAAGACCTTGTACGTCAACTTTCTGCCTCTACGCCCCGTTTTTTATGGCTGAGCTACGAGCAGGGAAATAGGAGATTCTAATGGAAAGGGTGACAGATGCTTATCTGTGCCAGCACAAATAGCCCTGTCACGGCGCGCTGGGGGAAGCGTCGAGCCTCTCTGCTGTGATGGAAAGCTCCTGGTGAAGCGATGGCATCTTTATGCAGGGGGCTCCATCCACTTGTGAGCCTGCTCTGGGAGTCAGGCGGGTGATGCTGAGAGCTTCTGGCCACCACCCCTGCCAGGGCAGCGACTCCCTTCAGATGGAATGAGAGCTGAGGCGCACGCTCCCCCATCCCTCACCCCAAAACTGACCCGAGGCCTTCAGAAGCAGACAAAAGCAGCTTTGCTGCTGCGTTTCTAGTTTGCAGCCGGGCCCAGGGGCCTGGCAGTGCTGGAACACCAGAAAGCTCTCCCCGTATTTGCATAGCTCAGTGATCTGCTGCCTCAAACGCTGCCGGCCGCTCAGAACCTGGGCACCTGCAGTTGCTACTGCTGCTGGCAGCTGAGCCGGAGGGAACTGCAGATGGAGATTTTGAGGGGAAATACACAGAAATGAAGGTTCTCACTTTGCTTCTGTCCACACCCAGCTCCGACTGTCCTCTGGCAAGGGCACCAGAACACGCACAATTGTCCTCCTGGGCTACTTTTCTTTTGCAATGTTTATTGAAATCCATGCAATGGCTCTTTGGCTTTTCTCCCCTCTCCTTTTATGAAGAGATCTAGAGGGCATCAAGTCATGTGTTCCTGGTAATGTTCGATGTATGTCTCTTCAGGGGGCTCTCACTCCAAATGAGACAGCGGAGCATTGCTTTCTGAGCTGCTTTTTTGGGAAGGCTCTGATATAAAAAGAAGAAATATGTAGGTATGAGGTTAGGGTGGCTGAAGAGTGGGAGACGTTAGTGCATGTTAAAGCCGGGTGGGTTTGTCATGTTGATAAGGTGCTAGGGCACAATTATTTCAAAACCATGACGGTGGAATTGCACTGTTGCATCATGCTAAAGTACTACTACTGCTTTTATTTATCTGTTACACTGAATGAAGTGTGCTCATAAGAGAATGAAACACATCCCTGGAGCTACAGGGACCGGGGCTATTTCATGTGGCAACGAAGCAGCTTTCGTAATAGGGGAACACGAGACCATTAATGTGTTGAATTGTATGGATGCAATATTCCTGTTTAAGGCCTAGATAACAATTGCTAGGCACTGTTGAAAGTTGTACCTTACATTTAACCTGAGTAATATTTTCCTCCTCCTATGTGCAATAGTTTGCAGACTGTAGGCTTCTCCAGTCTTGCACAGCCTTAACTTTTGACTCTGCTTCATCCTACTGCTGTCTTGTTTCACTGATTTCATCACAGGAACGAGACTCGGAGGCTGACAGAGCTGTCAGCTCAGTCAGTTGCAGGGAAGGGGACTTTGCAGGCTCTGGGTAGTGCATTTGTTGTTCTGCAACGTTCAGTAGAAAGGCTGCTAACAAAGAGCTGCCTGGTGCTGCTCAGTGCCCAGCGCAGGAGTGAGGCTGCATTGTTCAGAACTGATAACAAAATACGTGCTTATCAAATGTAAAACTTTTTGTGTGTGAGTGTGCTAATTTGTTTTCTAATTTGAATAAAGCTTTCTGCATATAAGAGAACCAAAAACCCCTTCATTTCCTCTACACCTTGCAAAGGCCCTTTGCTGTTAGCAAGGACATGCTAATGCTTTTTGTTCTGCCCTTTATTCACGTTGGCAACTTCCGGGCAATAAAAAAAAAAGAAAAGTATTAAAAGAATGCAGCACATGCTGGAAAAAACTGACTTCCTCAGCATCTTCCTATTTCACTGTAATGCTTCTCTATAGTTGAAAATATTGCTTATAGGATATTTGAAAAATACTGGCTTAGGGAAGTTTACATTTAAATAGATGGCTATTGCTGTAGTTCTCCTCTGCTGCACCTGCATTTTCCCATTCCCTCCAAACCATCAATTTCCAAACAGAAGAAATGGCCTAATCTTTTTCCATATTACAGAGGCTGTAAAATGTCACCCAGTTACCCTAAAATTTCCATTAGAAGGTAGATATTTTCCAGCACGGAGCACAATCTTGGGCCCACCAAGCCATGCAGAGTCCTCAGCGTGCCTTGCTCTTTTCTTTTGCTACGTTAACCACAACAACAGCCCAAACCAAAGCATGATGTGCTTTCTATTTATGGAGTTTTAAACTTCAAGCCTGTGCACGCCTCTGAAAGATGCTGATTGCTCTTCAAAAACTTTCTTTTCTGTGAATGACCCTGGCCAAAGTAGAGCAGCACAGGGTTAAATAACATTCCCTGTGAACTGTTTTTAAGAAACAAGCCTGCATGGATGAGAGACTGGTATCAGTAAATGCTGCGTTTTGTCTATTTGCCCAAATAACTTTGGGTTCATCTGGAACTTGCTCCCATGCCTTTCTCTGGGCAAGGCACTAACTCAAAGCAGCATTCCTGTGCAAGAGTCAATCGTTTTGATGCTTTGGGAATTTTATCCAAGTTATTCATCAGTCACCAGCCATCATTTCTATAGCTTCACCCCTGCCAGGAATCATTTAAAAACTCTAGCAATTAGCTGAAATAAATAGGTCTGTTGGGATAAACAGCTCTGAAGCACCATTCGGCCGCTCCCTGGTGCTGCTGGGAGCTTTTTGTCCCACTGATGGAGAGGGAGGGGTGGCAGGAGGGAGGTGGTACTCGGGAACCTCCCACCCCTGGTTCACCAGTGGAACACTTCTACTGGGGCAGGCTTCCAGCGGTCTCGCTCTCTCCTACCTCCATCCCTGAGGCTGTATCTCCTGGGTTCTAACTCGTGCCACCACTGCAGCAGCACAGGACACTTCCCTGGCTTCCCCCCACTCCCTCCAGCACCTTACAGGTCCTGTGCTGCAAGGACGAGGCAGCATCGCTGAGCAGCTGCACAAAAACCTCTGCTTGAAGTGGGGGCAGAGGGGGCAAGAGAAATAGCTCAGCTTTGTCTGTTTGAAAATTCAATGAATTCAACACATTTATCAAATTTTAAATAATTTATGTCTTGACAGGCCTTATCAATTTTGCAAAGCACACACATTAACCAGATACAGTGATCTCATATTAGCTTTTTCAGCATCTTACTGTGGAGCCTAGAAAGATTAATAAAAACTCGGCCTGTCATCAATTAAATGGAAAAACATAAAATTGTGTTCCATTATAGCCTTTTTTTTTTTTCAAGAAAATGATGACGAGTTCTAATAATTCATCACAACAAGCTGAGCTTGAACTTTGCTGATTATTAAATATGTTTTTCCCAAAGGCAGAGGCTGTGATGGGTTTTAAGGCAGCAGATGTGATTGCTG